GTTTCTTTTGTTTTGTTTTTTTCTGGTACTGGGAATTGAACTCACGACCTTGTGCTTGCTGGGCAGGTGCTGTGCCGCTGAGCTAAATCCCCAGCCCCATGGATGATGAAGTTGATAATGATTTTGATGTTGGCCATGTGAGCCAAAGTTCCTGTGACAGTGAAATGGAGCAAGAACCAACCAGTATAACACAGGGAATGCAGACCTCCTTGTCACACAACCAAATGGAAGGATGCAATGTTAGAACTAGGTCCAAAAATATAGTGAGGATCTTGGCAGGGGTGAAACTTACTGGATGGAATGCCAGCACTGCCATTCAATGCTGGAGATTGTAACAGAGGAAATGATATAAGATGTGAAACACACAAATGCTGAAATACTAGTAAAATGTTCTGTATGCACAAACAGCCATACTCAAAAATTTATTATGATACCTCACTAGCTGAACTGAAAGCATTCATAGGTCTGCTGTACTTACCAGGGCTCCCATTGGGCATATCAGGAATGTAAAACACTTATGGAAAAGCAATGGGTATGAGCTTGAGGCTTATAGAATAACAATGACACTGAGGAGATTTGGTTTCCTTCAAAATTGCCTGAGGTTGGTGGCAAAACCACCCACCAAAAAAGGACTGATAATCTGGCTGCTATCCTCTCATGTCTGAGAGATTTGTGGGTAAATGTCAAGCAACTTACACACCATATGAATACACGACTATTGATGTGCATCATTTCATGGGCACTGTAGATTCAGGTGGCATATTCCCCCCAAACCTTCAAAATATGGCATGAGGGCTGGGGATATAGCTCAGTGGCACAGCACCTGCCTGGCAAGTGCGAGGTCCTGAGTTCTACTGCCGGTACAAAAAGAAAAAATATATATATATGGCATAAAAGTTTATGCCCATATAGATGTGAAGACTTATTATGCTTTCAATTTAGAAATTTATCCTGGAACTCAACCACCAGGTCCTTATTTGTATAGCAGTAAACCAAGTAATGTTGTGAACAGACTTATTCCTATCTCCCAAACTAATATGGATGTGACATTCCACAGTTGGTTTACGGGTTTCCAATTGACGATACATTTGCTAATAGAGCACAAGTTGACGAGTGCAGGAACTGTACACAGGAACAAAAGAGAAATTCCAAATGATATGTTGAAATTTCAAAACAGAGAATTGTATGGTACAATCTTTGGATTTCAGAAAGATGTAACATTGGCCTGTATATGGCAAAGAAAAACAAACTGGTACTATTAATGTCAACATTGTACCATGGTGGTAATATTGATAAAGAAAGCTCAACAAAACAAGCCTGACATGGTAACTTTCTACAACAAAACTGAAGGCAGAGGAGATGTTGTTGATGAGTTATGCAGCAATTATGATGTCACTAGAAATACAAAGTGTTGGCCAGTGGTTGTGTTTTACTTGAGGCTAAACATGTGGTGTAAATAGTTTGATAGTTTACAAAGAAAATAAAAAGTGCAAAATATCATGGAGAAATTTTTTTAGAGGACTGAGACTGAAGCTCCTAAGAGATCATTTACAACAGAGGAAAAGCAAGATGTTTCTGCCCTGAGACCTACGCAAAAGAATTGTGGAGCACACTGGTGAGCTGACAGGTGAACAGGCACGCACAGCATCAGAAAGAGCTCCTGTGACAACAGGAAAAACAAAAAGATGTCAACCATGTCCTACAGAAAAGGACAGGAAAATAAACCATATGTCCTATCAGTGTAAGTGACATTTTCATGTGTGGTCTGCCTTCGGGGTTGATAGTTGAAGCAAAGATTATTTCTGTGGTGGACTTGGTTTGTATTTACACTGTAGTTCATATAGGCTTTTATTTTTGATGTTATCTTTTAGGTTTTGTGAGCAAGTAAACAGCTGATGTGAAAATGCTGATGTCTATTCTAAGCACTCATTACGTAACTGATATTTTACTGGAATCTTATTTTCTTGCTAAGTGTACACTGTATAGTATAATAGGAAGCTCCTGAAAGAACAACAAGATAAGACAGGTGACAGGAATGGCCTGCCACATAGGAAAGCTAAGCACATGTGCTGTCAGTGTAAATGAGATCTGTGGATGGAACATGCAGCTGGCATGTGTGAAGACAGTTTTGGATGTGACAGTTGAAGCAAACATTTTTGTGGTGGAGTTCTAGTGGTATTTTCATTGTAGTTCATACAGGAATTTATTTCTGATGTCATCCTCTAGGTTTTGTAAGCAAGTACATAACTGTAGATGTTGATGTTTATTCTAAATGTGCAATACATATGAAGAATTCAATATTTTATTGAAAGTTTATGTTCCTGTTAACTACACATTGTATAAGAAGCTCTTGACAGGGCCGGGGATATAGCTCAGCAGCACAACGCCTGCCTGGCAAGTGTTAAGTCCTGAGTTCGATTACCAGTACCAAAAAAAAAACCTCCTCACAAAACAAGACAACCAATATGTCAAGTATATCCTACAAAAAGGCGATGAAAGCAAAACACATGTGCTGTCAGTATAAGCAATACTTGTGTATGAAACATGCACTGCTGTCATGTGTAAAGACTGCTTTAGGTATGATAATTAAAGTAAAGATTATTTTTTGTACAGTTCTATTGGTATTTTCATTGTAGTTCATATAGGAATTTATTTCTGTTATTTTTTAGACTTTGTGCACCAAAAAACAGTACCAAGTTGAAACCGTTGAAAATTTTGATGTGTTTTTATAAACAAGTATTAAAAATGCAGTACTTTATTTTTGCGATATTGTCCTGTTAATTACTCATTGTTTAATATACTAAAACTCATAAAATTAAAATTAATAATTCATGAATAGAAATATTCTGAAGAATAAACGTGGGTATTATACATCCACAATAATGTACCTTTATGACAAAATTGGTGTTTATGCCCCGCGGGCCACGGAAGTGCTGACTCTGAATGTAGTAGAAATAACCTGCACACTGGAAAAAAAAGTGGCCAGTTCCTGAGGGGCACAGTAGCATGTGCCTGTAATTCCAGCTACTAGGGAAGCTGAGGCAGGAGGACGATGAGTCTGAGGGCCGCCAAGGCAATTTAGCAAGACCCTCTCTCAAAATGATGATAATAATATTACTAACGAAGGGCTGGGGATGTACTGTAGCTGAGCGGCAGAGCAGCCCTAGGTTTCACCCCCATACAGAAAAAAGAGCAAACATACATACAAACAAACCAGGTAGCTAGTTCCTGAGGTGAACTCTTACCACCCCTTCCCTCATTTTCCCACCCCTCCCCACAGTCACACAGAGCAGAGCTTAAGGCATTGTACTGTAAGCATAGAGGAAAATGCAACTACTCACAGGTTTGGAATCCTGAATTCCCCTGTTTAACTTGGTTTGCTTACCGCCCTCCCAACAGCTTGACTGAAGTATAATCTTATGTTGTTTTTAAACTGCTCCATGAGATAATCTCATGCCCTAGAGCAGTGGTGGCTAACCTATGGCACGCGTGGCAGGGTCGGCTGGTTTTTTTCATTGAAAGCTCTAAAAGGTACACCATCACTGCTCTAGAGTCTCTGCTTCACTTTTTGGATCTCCTGTACAGGCACCTATAAAGATTCTCTTTCCTCCTCTCCCCCTCCCACCCTCTATTCCACAGCCCAACACGTGTGACCTGTGTGTACAGTACTCGCTGGGCCTGCCACCCGAGCCCTGCCCACAGTAAGCCCCGCCCCTCAGTCCCTTTCCAACTCATCCCCCATGAATCTCGCGCCCCCCCCCTTTCTCGCGAGAGGTGAGGAGGCTGGCCGGCCGGGAGGAAAGTATCTGCTCCGCTGAGGGGGGAAAGGAGGAGCTGGAGACAGATTGTGGGGCCGAGCACTGGAGGGCCGGAGGCGACGGAGCTACCAGCGGGTGAGTCCTGTTAACGTTAGCTAGTCTGTAACCTGACAGGAGTTTCCCCTTCCACTCTGGCCAGTCCCAGCGTCCCAGGCCCGGGTCTCCCCTCCCAGCGTGTTGGACGGGGGCGCTGAGGCGGTGGCCGGGCCCTGTCTGAGGAAGAGGGTGGGGCATAGACCAAAGTGACCAATAAGAGAAAAGGATGCCACGATCGACGGCGATAAGCGCTAATGAGCGATCACTTTTATCTAGCAGAGTGCCGCCCCTCCTCTCTCCCTTCTCCCGCCTCCTTCCTTTGGGGAGAAGGCGGGGCCAGAGGCCAGAAGTGTGGGGAGAACTTGGGGTAAGTAGCCCCGGGGGGCACAGGGCGTGGCAAGGACAGCGAAACTGAATCCTGAGAGAAGGATAGTTTAGTAGAGCCTAGTGGAAGTAGCGTGGAATGTGGTGGGATGAGAAAAAGAGGAAGACCACTAAACTAGGTTGAATACTCAGGACTTGCCAAAAAGTGGGGTTAGAGGTTTGGCATTGGAAGAGGTAGGGGTAACTGGCAGGAGTTGGAATGAGTAGGTGAGAACGAGGACCTCGGGCCGGTGAAAGCATACTTCGGGTTTGGCTAGAAAGATAGGTAGGGCTAGATCATTGGAAAGGAGCGTCGTGACATTTCGATTGAATACAAATATCAGAGACATGATAGTAGAGCAAGTTTGGATTTGAAGAGAATTAAAGGAATGAGTTTAGCAGGGAGGTGTGGATAGGTTGAGTCTCCAAAAGCATGACTTTAGGAGTGGTGTGGGAATGCAGAGAAATAAGGGAGGTGTTTGGAAGGGAGACGGCTGATACGCACAGATCTCTAGCCTAGGTATGGGAGGGAGGCTGTGCTGTTGACTTAGGACTTCTGGTGGTTGTGCCACCCAGTTTGATGACCAACTTAGAAAAACGCTGGGATGGGGTCTCGAAGGAGACAAATAGAACACCCGTCACTTCTTCTTTTTTTCTGCTTTCCTTCCCCTTCCCAAATTTCATCTCTTCCAAAACGCAGGGATGTGGGCTTGGGAATGAAGCAGTCCAGGTTGGAGCCTCAAAGGGACTTACATGTTGCTCTGAATTGCTTGTTATTTTCTCTCACTGGTGTATTTACTACCCAGGGAACCTCCAGCCAGGTTCCCTCGTTGCTACTTACCCAACATTAAAAGTTTGTTTCCTACTTCACAGAGGATATTTTAGCATCTCTTGGGGTCTTGTCACATGAAGTGTAGATTTGTGGAGATGTGCAGATTTTCTTCAGCAAGCTCAGTTGACTCCTGTGTTTAAAATTTTGCAGTAATGTAATTTCTGTGGAAACATCAGTCTTTCTAGAGGTTATAAGTACAAATGTACTAAAATGAAGTTTGTTCATTGAAATGTAGCTTCACTTATTCTTGAAGAGTTATTAAATGGATGGTTGCAGTTAGTTTTAATAAGCTTATATATATTTTACAGTGTAAATAAAATTACACCTATTTCAGGAAAGTGAAAATTTGTTCAGTTTTGTCACTTGTATCCAGACTCTAAAGGTACATCATAATATCTTAGGGCAAAGGTTGGGGAAATCAAACACAATTTGTATTTAAACGTGGAGATGTAAGTGGAGGCTGTTGTGAAATGTAGCATGTCAGTAAGAAAAGAAGCTAAAGAAAAGTTTGGCAGCTATGCTAAGTAGTCTTACCAGTTTGCTCTTAATTCTATATAGAAAAGAGACAGGCCTTTGGCCTTTGTTTAATAGTTATGTATCATTTAATAATGAATTACACAGCTAATTAGTAACTTGTTTGCTACTGCGTAGATTTTCTTACGTTCCTTCTTTTGCTTTTGAGAAATATCATTAAAGCTAATATATGAAGAGAAACCTGACTGTAATTTTGCATTAACCTTTGGTTTTCAGCAACCACTTCAAACTTTCCTCTTGGACATGACATTGCCCCTACAGTACATTGAGACCAATTAATTATTGACCCTTTAGCATGAACTACTGAGTTGAGTTCCAGCATTTCACATTAAGAGCATTACTATAGGACATTCAGAACATTTTCACAGTTGCTTGCCAACAGCCAAAAAAAATCCAGAGAGCACAGTTCCTTGTTGATTTGCTCTCCCAGTCTAGAATTTGTGAGGGCTTACCTTGGGGATATTAAGTGTAAGATTTTTTTTTTTCTTCACTAGTGTTACCACCCAGCAGAGAGCTAGAGTATAACACTGCACATCTTTCAACTTGTGGATCAAGGTTTATACTCGGGTGGTTTCAATGTTGTAATTTTTATTTTTTATTTTTTTGTTACTGGGAGTTGAACTCAGGGCCTCATGCTTGCCAGGCAGGTGCTGTGCCCGCTGAGCTCCACCCTCGGCCCTTAATGTTGTAATTTTTAAACACCTTTGTTTACTGTGTCTTTAAAATGTTAATAGCTGTCATTTACTGTATCTTGTTCTCTTTTCTTTCCTCACTTTTAACCCAAAATGAAAATTATTATTTCAAACAACTCTTAAGTTACTGCATTGCCTGGAGTAAATTCCCTGGCTCTGCCTGAACACAGCTGCTCTAAAGTTATTGTTTTGTGCATGTCAAGACTAAATTGTCCTAAGCTGCAGTGGGAGGTAGTCAGTGTTACCTCAGCCTCCTATACCTATCCATGTCTGATGAGGAGTCTTCTCCTTGCAAGGAAGTTTTAGGTGGAGCCAATAGCACTGCCATGTGAGTGCCTAGGAAAGACAGCTCTCTTCTTGGGACCAGCTAGCAGGCTGGAATATAATTGTCTTCTATCCCTTGATAAAGGTACTAAAGTTAAGGGCAGATATGTCTTTGAAAAAAACAGTCATAGCATTCATTAAGAAAGGAAGGCACTGGGGCTGGGGATTTAGCTCAGCGGCACAGTGCCTGCCTGGCAAGCGCGAGGTCATGAGTTCGATTCCCGGTACTGGAAAAAAAAAACCAAAAAGGAAAGCGTTAATTTCTTTTGTTGTTGGTTTCTCTGAAAAACGTTCTGACTCTTTTGTTTTGGTACCAGGAATCAAACTCAGGACCTTGCATTTGCCAGGCAAGCACTGTGCTGCCGAGCTATATCCCCAGCCCCAAGGTTCTGACTTTGAAGTTCATGAAAAAGTCTTCTATTTTATTTTTGTTTTTTTGAGACAGGCTATGTAGTTCAGGCTGGCCTTAAACTCCTGGTGATCCTCCTGCCTCACTCTCCTAGGTACTGGGATTATAGGCATGTTCCACCACATTCCTGGCTCCTATCAACTTTAAAAATATGTCAAAGAAAATATTTTTGTTTTTCTGATACTGGATATTGAACCCAGGGCCTTCACACTGAGCTATATCCTTCACCCTTATTTATTTATTTATTTATTTATTTTATTTTTTTATTTATTTTGTCTTTTTGAGACAGGGTCTCACTAGCACTTCAGGCTGGCTTTAAGCTCACTTTGTAGCCTAGGCTGGCTTAAAACTGGAAGCAATCCTCCTGCCTCAGCCTCCTGAGTGCTGGGATTACAGGCGTGCACCACCACACCGAGCTATTTTTATTTTTATTTTTTCTATTTTGGGACAGAGCCTTGCCAAATTGTCTAGGCTGAGTTCAAATTTGAGATACTCCTGCCTCAGCCTCCCAGAGTACTGAGAATCAGGTATATACTACCACACCTAATTTAAGAAAATAATTTTTAAGTTTTTCTGCCATATACTTACTTACTTGTTAATTTTTGGCTTTTAGGCTCTGCATGGTGGTGCGTGCCTATAAATCTGGCACTTAGGAGGCTGAGGTAGGAGGCTCACTGGAAGTTTGTGGCCAGCTTGGTCTACATAGTGAGTCCAGGCCAGCCTGAACTACACATAGCATGACCCTGTCTCAAAAAAACAAACAAACAAAAAAACAAGCCTGGTGTGGTGATGCACACTTGTAATCCCAGTACTAGGGAGGCTGAGGCAGGAGGATCATTGTGAATTTGAGACCACCCTGGGCTACAAAGTGAGCTCAAGGCCAGCCTGAACTGCATAGCAAGACCCTGTCTCAAAAAGACAAAAAGAGAAAGCAAAAATCAAAAAAAGCCCAACTGAAAAAAAACCCAAACAGACCTCTGGCTTTTTTGAGGGAGGTTGTTGTTGTTGTTACTGCTTTTTGGGTTTTTGTCTCATTATATAGTCCAGTCTGGCCTTGAACTTGGTGTGTCGCCTAGGTTGGTCTCAAACTCAAGATCCTTTTCCCTGAAGTACTAGGACCTGACACGTTCTCATTTTTAAATGTTGCCTTCCCCTCAGAGGCTTCCTTTGAAATCAAGTATATTCATGAAGTATACATCAAATTTGAAATCCTTGATGGATGCTTTTTTAATGTCTGAGTGCTGTAAGAAGGAGATTCACCCTTCACAGATAACCGGTTCTATTCATTATTGGAGTTCTAGTTCTGTCATCTGAAGCTACATTCAATAAAACTAATTCTCTTCTAATATCATAGACTTTAAATATTTGATGATGCTTAATGCCCCATTAAGACATCTCTTTCTAGATAAATACCCCAACTTCTTTCAGGTTTTCCTTAGATGACATTTTAAAAAAAATTTTAATTTTTGGAACTGGAAATCAAACTCAAGATGACATTTTAAATAAAGTTCAGGCTTTTTATCAATTTACTCACCTGGGTTTTTTAGAGTTCCTTATCTAGATACGAAGATAGAATCTCAGATACAATCTAACCAACACAAAATATAGGGTTAAGGGGATCGTGACTTTTTTTACTTTACTCTATACCACTGTTCATAAAGTCTAAAGTTACATGAATTTGTGTAGTTGGTTTTTTAAATATAATTGAAAATTTTACATTTATCCTGTTAATTCTGGCTTATTGTTTCAGTGTGATAGTGTTTTTTAGCCTCTTGATTTTTAGCCTCATATTTTTGTATTATTGATGCATTTGATAAACACGATGTCTGTGTTTTCATTTTAGATCACTGGTAGAACAGTGCTGTAGACTATCATTATGTTAACA